AGATGGTTTTAGCACAGAATTCTACCAGACTTTCAAAACAGAGTTAATGCGATTACTCTTCAAATTATTCCACAAAATAGAAACAGGGAACATTGCCCAATTCATTTTATGAGGCCACAGTCACCCTGATACCCAAACCATATAAAGTCCCAACAAAGAAAGAGAATTACAGACCCATTTCCCTTATGAACATAGATGCAAATATACTCAATAAAATACTTGCAAACTGAGTCTAAGAACATATCAAAAAGATCATCCACCATGATCAAGTAGGCTTCATCCCAAAGATGCAGGGATGTTTAGATATATGTAGATCAATAAATGTCATCAACCAAATAAGCAGACTGAAAGAAAAAAGCCACTTGATCATCTCATTAGATGCAGAAAAGGCCTTTGACAAAATCTCACACCTTTCATAATAAAGGTCCTGGAGAAATTAGGGATAAAAGGGATATACGTCAACATAATAAAGTCAGTTTACAGCAAGCTCATAGCAAACATCAAATTCAATGGAGAGAAACTCAAAGCAGTTCTACTAAAATCAGGAACAAGACAAGGTTATCCACTCTCTCCATAGCTATTCAATGTAGTACTTGAAGTCTTAGAGCAATAAAACAACTGAAGGAGATCAAGGGGATTCAAATGGGAAAGGAAGAAGTCAAAGTATCTCTGTTTGCAGATGATATAATAGTATACATAAGTGACCTTAAAAATTCTACCAGGAACACTCTATAGCTGATAAACACTTTCAGCAAAGTAGCTGGATACAAAATGAACTCACAAAAGTCAGTAATCTTCCTACATACAAGTGGCAAACAGACCAAGAAAGAAATCAGGGAAAAACACCTTTCACTATAGCCATAAATAATGTCAAATATCTGGGGGTAACTCTAACCAAGCAAGTGAAAGACTTGTATGATAAAAACTTAAGGTCATTGCAGGAATAAACTGAAGAAGATATCAAAATATGGAAAGATCTCCCTTGCTCATAGATTGGTAGAATTAACAGTAAAAATGGTCATTCTACCAAAAGTAATGTACAGATTTAATGCAATCCACATCAAAATTCCACTGATTCTTCACAGATCTTGAAAGGACAATTCTCAGCTTCATATGGAAACAAATAAACAAACAAAAACAACAACATCTCCCCCCAACCCCCACAAAACCCAAGATAGCTAAAATAGTCCAGAACAATAAAAGAACTGCTGGAGGTATCACCATTCCCAATTTCAAGTTGTACTATAAAGCTACAATAATCAAAACAGTGTGGTATTGACATAAAAATAGACATGCTAATCCATGGAATTGAACTGAAGACACAGACACAAATCCACACACTTATGGCCACATGACTTTTTTTTTACAGGAAGCTATAAATACACACTGGAAAAAAAGACAATGTCTTCAACAAATGGTGCTGGTCAAACTGGATGGGTGCATGTAGAAGAATGCAAAGAGACCCAAACTTATTACCCTGAACAAAACTCAACTCCAAATGGATCTAGGACTTCAACATAAGACAAGATATATTGAACCTGAGAGATGAGTAAGTGGGGAATAGCCTTGAACTCATTGTCACAGGAAAAGACATTCTAAACAGAACACCATTAGTGCAGGCACGAAGATCAATGATTAATAAACAGGGCCTCATGAAACTGAAAAGCTCCTGTAAGGCAAAGGACAACATCATTTGGACAGAGCAGCAGCCTACATTCTGTAGAAAATGGGAAAAGATTTTTACCAACTCTACATCTGACACAGGACTAACATCTAAAATATGTAAAGAACTCAAGAAAGTAGATACCAAAAGACTAAATAATCCAATTAAAAGTGGCATATAGATCTAAACAGAGAATTCCCAATAGAGGAAACTCAAATGGCCCAAGAGAAAGAAGTGTGTTGCAGTCAACAAAGCTGAAAGGAGTTAGTTGGAGATCTGAAGTGTGCTTTGACATCAGACACGGAGATGCAGAGTTTGGAGTTTGTTCAGCTGGTTTTCAGTCTTTTTTTGGTTCAGTGTTTCCTCACCATGCTGCATATTCTACCATTTGGAATGATAATGTATAATCTGTGCCATTGTATGTTGGAAGTATGTGATCTGCTTTTTGATTTCACTTTTACAGAGGATTATAGTTAAGATATTGTCATGAGTCTCAGAAGAGAATTTAAACTGGCCATCATTCATCACCAAATGAAGCTTCCAGTAGCAGGATTAGGTTACAAACAATTGAATTATTGCCCAAAGGGATGCCCTGGAAATTCCCAAACAATCCAGATTGTTGCCAAGACAATAGATTGCTCTATAAACTGACAGCAAGGTCCCATTGCTGAAGACAACACCCACATAACTCATTGAACATGGAGAGGTTGAACTGGTGCCTACATAGAACCTTCACCCCTATGTTCTAGTGTCTTTGGGACAATGCTGTCATGCCTGAAAAATATCCTAGGGCAACAGTGTCACAAAGCTTGTGGGAATAGCCAACCAATGTCTGATTTGACTTAAGGGCCACTCCACAAGATGGAACCCATACCCAACATCTGACATTGCTTGGGCAACCAAGAACCAGAGACTAGATAACCAAGAGAGACCTAGGGTAAAACCAAAGGCTACTAGTCTTTAAAAAACAAAAGTAGACTCCCTCTCTTGGGAGTCTCCATATCCTGGCCCATACCACAAGATGCTTTACCGGAGGCCAGGCTTCTCCTAGGGACCCCAGGTAAGACATCATCCACTGCCCACTAACACTCCTTAAAGCTCACTCAACACTCCCCTACAGCACCACTCCCCTGGGCTCCATATCCTGACCAACACACACATCTAGCTGCTTTACCAGAGGCCAGGCCAGATCTAGGGACCCCAAGTAAGACATTGTCCACTGCCTGCCAGCACCACTTAAAGTCTACCCAACATCAAACCTACTCTGAACTCCATATCTTGCCCCCCCACACACACACACCTCTGGCTGCTTTAGTGGAGGTCAGGCTGGTCCTAGGGACCCCAGGTAAGATATCCCCCACTGCCTGTCAACAATCCTTAAAGCCCACCCAACACCCCCAGGCTGTACCTCCTTCCCTGGGTTCCATATTTTAGCAAACAACTTCAGCAGAAGACATCTGGTTTACCTGAGGCCAGGCAAGAAAGGTTTTGGAACTTTGTGCAAAAAAAGCCATTGGATGTTCAGTGCTCTTGGTGAGCTGTTGTGTAGGAGCTTGGGACATCAGAATGTAGAGGACAATGCAAAAGATGGAGGCCTGGCTTGTGAAGTCTCAGAGGGAAGTTTAAAGACTCCAACTGGGCCATTTGTTTTGAATTTAGATTCTGTGGTTCTGGTTAGTGGGACTGCAGAATCAGCTGTGATTAACAAGATACCAGAACTACTAAGACGGAACATTTGCTTTTCTGGGATACTCGATGCTGGATGGCTGTGTAAATGATTATGCAGGTATTTGATGCTGTTCCAGATTCGGTATCAGGCAAAATTATCCCAGTTTGCTGCATACAGCATGTTGTCTGCAGACACATGAAGCTCTTCTCACTTCTGGTCACTTTACACTTTCGTCAGCATCTGTTAAAGAAAACATCTCACCTCAGATCTGTTACTTTTCACAGGGCCATTGTGGATTCCTGGTAGCAACAGACAACTTCAGAACTTAGTTAAACCTCAGTGTCCACAAAGCATCATTTGAATCTTCTGCTAAGAGTATCAGATTTCTCCTTATTGATCTATCTAATACATCCCCACAGTTTTCAGTGGTTACCAGTTACTAGGTGGATATAAACACTTAAATAGTTGCAATGTTTATTAACATATTCCCCACCTAAAGCTACCTGTGTCTTGGCAAGGAAAGGGGATAATAGGCAGGAACAAGCATCACTCATAATGTGGTATTTTGTTTGTGCTCTAACAAATAAAGCTTGCCTGGAGACCAGAGTGCAGAGCTAGCCACTAGTTAACCATAGAGACCAGGCAGTGGGGCACACACCTGTAATTCCAGCACTTGGAAGGAGAAAGCAGGAAGAACAGGAGTTCAAGGCCACCCTGGGCTACACGAGATTAATCCAGTCTAAAAGAGAAACAGAGCCAGGCAGTGGTGGCACACACCTTTGATCCTAGCACTTGGGATCTCATGCCTTTGATCCCAGCACTAGGGAGGTGGAGACAGGGAGTGATATGGCTGGGTGGAGAGAGGAATATAAGGAGACAGGAGCTCACCCCCTTTGGTCTGAGGATTGGGTAGAGGTAAGAAGTCTCTCTAGTGGCTGGCTCCTTTACTTCTCTGATCACCAGGCAAGCTTTATTTGTTAGATCACAAACAAATTATCACCACACTTAAGCAATCGGATACTTCTCTATATACTAAGGCCTGAGGCCCTTACATTTGCTGAAATTTTTATGTACTGAAACTTGAGAATATTTTCAGAAATTATAATTGATTGTAAAAAATAATGACTCAAAATGGAAAACTCTGGAAAATCTTGTTTAATTGCTAAAATCTTCAGATTAGGCAAGCACAAAACATAGGGCCAGAAACACAGTTCAGTGATAGAGTGCTTGCCTCAAATTCATGAGGCCCTAAGTTCACTTCCCAGTGCTACGAAAATAAACAGATGGCGTATGAGGCAGAACCTCATGTCTGGCTCTGAGCGAATGACAGTCACCAAAGAGTGACAGCTGTAGCCGGGCAGGGGTGGCCCACGCCTTTAATCCCAGCATTCAGGAGGCAGAGCCAGGCAGATCTTTGTGAGTTCGAGGCAGTTAGGATGTATTGTATGAAAGAAGAACAAAAGAGAAAAAAAGACAATAGCGTGTAAGCTATGTGAGCAGGACAGACATCAAGGTCAGTAACTTCGGAGAAACCCTCAGAGACAAGTGTTGGTGGGTGTGGACACACAGTCCAGTGTTCGCAGTGGACTTCCTTTTTTTGCTCATTTCACCTCACAGAACTTGGAGTTTGTCCTGTCCACAAGTTCAGTGTCACGTCCCCCATTGGCAATGGAAACATCAAGGGTCTACCTCAATTTAAAGGCATCCAGGAATCCAAGGTCTCAGCATGCATCACCGCCATCTCTTGCCCCAGGTCAGTAGCTTTATTTCTCCATTTGGCATTAGAATATCTTCCAGAGTTATGATTTCTTCTTACAGTTTTGTGATCGCTATGAAGATGAACAGCTGTCCATACTGAAGAGGGTAGACGGTAACAACTTTAGAGATTAAAGGCTCATACATTCAACTTTTAGTCAGTCAGTGTGAAACTTGGGCAGCCATTCTTTTCAGCCTTAGTCACAAGACCCTGAAGAAAGGTTACTTTACATCTGTAAGGAAAGGGATGCTTCTAGCAGAGAGACTTGCTATGCAGCATCTTGCCTGGTCCAAACTTCTCTGCAAAACACAAACACCAAGCCTCAGCACCACGGCATCCTAGCACTGAGCACAGGTGGAATCAGCACTCTGTCTCTCAGAAGACTTAAAATCACAGTGACAGAAATGTGGAAGACTGATATGTGCCACAAATTAAGTGTACCATGACTTAGGGATGGATGAAAAGAGATAGACATGGAGACAGAAAATAAGTCTAATATGGTCATGGTATAGTATGAGATTCTGTGATGTAACTGAGCTTTCTTATATAATACTGCAATGCTTTAGATTTAATCTTTCTATATTGTGTCAAGAATGAATGTGAACCATGGGAGGCAGAGGCAGTTTGATCTCTGTGAGTTTGAGACAAGCCTGGTCTACAAAGTGAGTCCCTGGACAGCCAGGGCTGTTATACAGAGAAACCCTGTCTCAAAAAACCAAAAAGCAAAGATAAAATGTGAACCACAACTTTTTAAGGATGCTTGTCAGAAACTTTTAAATTAACAGATTTTTTTTTTAATCAGAAAAAGTCTTAGAGTCACAAAATAAGCTTCATTATAACCTTTGCAAAGGGTCTGGGGAAAGTGGGTCTTTTGATAACTAGAGGGAGGATTTGACGGAGCCAGTTATCTGTGATAGGCACAAGAAAGTCTCTGTTTTCCCTGTTTATACCTGTAAAAGTGGAAGAAGGGACTTAGACAGCTTAAGGTTTGGGTTTGTTTTCCCACTGAGTCCAGCCAGCGAGGCCAGTGTGTGCATGGGTGTAGGGCATGTCCGGGAGCATAGGTGGCCTCTCAGGGACTGTATCCTTGAAGAAACCTACTCTCCCACTCCTAGCAGCCATCAGCTGTCAATAGCTCCCCAGATGGTGGTGGAACTCATGTCCAAGTCCCCTCACAATTTTTGTCTGACTTGAGCTTTTGAAGGTCTTGTGTAGGCTGTCACAAATGGTGTAAGATCATATATGTAACTGTCCTGTTATGTCCAGAAGACAGTGTTTCCTTGTAGTTATCTGCCACTTCTTGCTGTGGGATATCTTTCTGTATGCTGTGAATATGTGTTGTTCCCATTGGTTAATAAATAAGCTGTTTTGGCCTATGGCAAGGCAGCTTAGAGACAGGTAGGAAAAGAAAGAGACCAGAAAGAGAAAGACAGGGTCTGGAGACACTCCCCTGCCATGAAAGGAGCAGCAAGATGTCAGCAGACTGGTAAAGCCATGGAACACGTGGCAAGACATAGAGTGATAGAAATGGGTTAAGTTAAGATATAAGAGCTAGCTAGCACAAGGCCTGCGATAGGTCATACAGATTGTAAATAATATTAATCCTCTGAGGCTCCTGGATTGTGGGGCCAGGCAGGACCAAAGAAAACTTGCAACTACAACTTCTAATTTATAGTCATTCTGCCCCTCTTCTGTGGCGATGCCTGAGCTTTGGTTGGGGATGGGATGGGATGCAGATGTCCCATTTAGGGTGGAGTACTAGGTAGTCTCTAATTCTGTAAATGCTGAGCAGTTGTGGGTGGTGCACACCTAGAATTCCATCACCTGAGAGGTGGAGGCAGGAGAGTCAGGAGCTCAAAGGCATCCTCAGTTCACAGAGAGTTAAAGGTCAGCCTGGACTATTGGTAACCCGATCTCAGAACACAGCACAACACAAAGCAACTATGAAAGTATTCTATTTAAGGAAAGAACACCATGAAATTTACAGCCACAATGTGTAGTATGTGTTTAGTTCGTGTGTGTGTGTGTGTGTGTGTGTGTGTGTGTGTGTGTGTGTGTGTATGTATGTGTAACAGTGTGTGATATTAGCCACATTTCCAGTTCATCTATCCATTAGGAGGATTTAGAACTCAGCCAATAAGGAGGGAATAACACAATTGAAATACTGAAAATATCCTGGGGACTCAGGAGATGCACCTCCATGCATGTTATACCTTTGACCCAAGTTGGAGAAGATCATTGTAGATAGCAGTGAAGCACGGGGTCCGTGTGCAGGAATAGATTCACGTGTCATTATCACCAAAAGTCACAATTACCACAAAAAGGGAGCATCAAAAATATCTATTGAATAAAAGAAGGTCCTCCTTAGAGATGCTTTGACTCCCTTCCTGCAACAGAACATGCCATTTGGTTTTGACGGCATTCGTGGTTTTCAACACATCTTCACATCTGTCGAGCTTGATTTACTCAGTACACCTTTGTGCTTATGCATGGATGTGCATAAGCATTATTCTTCAGTCCTACTTTATCAAAGCAAACAGTTGAACCTAACGGAGAATTTATCTCATGGAATTCTGCTTTAAGTTGGCAGAAAAGGGCTCACATCTGCAGCTGACCTTCCACTTGAATCCATTTGTTCCCAAACCACCTTTCCCTTTCATTCCCAATGTCCTCAACTGACTTAAACAAGTAACAGATGTTTGACTTCACAGATGCCTGTCGGTGCCCACGCTCCCATAGGTTGGCTCTGAAACTCACTTGTGCTGGGCTCATCCTTCTTGTCTTGACCCTGATTGGGCTCAGTGTTTTAGGTAAGTGAGGCAAGAACTTTTTTCTTTTTTTTGGTTTTTTGAGACAGGGTTTCTCTGTGTAGCTTTGCACCTCTGCTGGAACTCACTTGGTAGCCCAGGCTGGCCTCGAACTCACAGAACTCTGCCTGGCTCTGCCTCCCGAGTGCTGGGATTAAAGGCGTGTGCCACCACCGCCCAGCGAGGCAAGAACTTTTGCTTCAGAATTTCCCCTCTAAATATCAGGGCCTCTTGGCATGGTTTGGTCCACTTGAGCCTGGGGGAAGGTCAAAGACATGAGTAGTTACAGGACAGTGTCCCATGTCCAGTGCAGAAGCTTCACATTTCTGTGCTTCTGAATTTCTCTGAGAGTTGTTAGGAGGTGTTACCCACAAAGGGCTCTCTAACAGGCCCATGAGGGGCAAACATGGCGCCTGCAGGCTTTTCCCTTTCCCCTTTCCTCTCACTGAACTGTCAGATGACATTCCTCAGCTAGGCCCCGAGGGCCACTCATTTTGGCCATGGAACATTCCTGAGACTGAGCACTGAGGTCCAACTATCAAAACATCAAGGTCCAGCAATCAAAATTCATTATTTGGCTACACTGGCTAGCCTGTCCAATCAGGATTTATCACCTCATCCCAACACAGACTTCCCATTTTCTCCTTAAAACCCACTCCTGCAAAAGTACCTGCTGCTGTCTTTGCCAGATACGGAAGCAGCCCTTCCCCCTTCCTCCAGGGTAATAAATCTCCTTTGTGTTGAGAATTTGGTGTCTGTGTGTGTTCTGAGCTGACACCAAGCCCCTAACAACGCACATATACCTAGAACCAAATAAATAAATAAATAAATAAATAAATAAATAAATAAATAAATAAATAAATAAATAAAAGTGATAACTGAGACAAAAATAACAACAACAAGGAAAGCCAAAAGGCTCAAGTGTTTAGTTTATTAACTGGCTACTAAACTCCATTGGCATTAAGCTGTGTTTCTTGGAGGGGATGTGATAATTCTCATTCTGAAGATGGGAATTCAGGCATGAGTGCGGGTAAGTTAAGGGTTTCTCTAAGGACATTAGATAGTATGTGCCTTAACAGTGGTGTGAATCCACATGTTCTGTGCTTTTCTTCTTTGTTTATACATCTGTCTCCAACTGGTCCCTCCGTCCAGCTGGCTAATATTTTATCCTATCCAGATGTTTCAGGTTTGTTGAAATAGCTTGATTTCCTGAGGTGGGAAAGAGAACACCCACTCCACCTTTCATTTCAGGATTTAATCCTCTCCATGTTTTCTTATTTACTAGTGCGAGTGTTGATACAAAAACCATCAATAGAAAAATGCAGAGTGTGTATTCAAGAGAACATGGCTAAACCAACAGGTAACTTTTCAGCTTGAATTTCCCAAGAATAACAGTTGACATTTGCTATTTACCAGGGCTTTCATCAGTCGAGGTTTAAAACACTCACTCATGAAGACACTACAGTCCCATGGTCTTATGTTAGAAGGAATTGCTGCATAAAGTCTTGTTAAGGGTCTCATGACTGGTAGTTGACAATGCTGGGAACTTCTTTTAAGCTATGTGACCTTGAAGCCTGAGATCTTAACCACTTGGCCATGCTGTCTCAATATGCTAGCACACTGGATCATTAACTTTAAGAACACTCTAATAGAATATTTGTTTTAACTAATGTGTCAAATAGTTAACTTTGTCTAAAGTTAATTGATAGAAACACAAATGAATTCTTGTTATTTTTATTTCTTTAATATGTCATAACAGCAATTTTGTCCCTTCATGTGTTGCTAAAAGTGTGTGTTAGTAAAGCAACTACTGTGTGTAACTGGATGTGGTACAGCAGGAACAGGGTAGAAATATTCCATGTCTCCTTCTCACTTCAGACGGTCCAGCTATCTTAAAGTGTCCAAAAGACTGGCTGCCACACTGAGATAAATGCATATATTTTTCTCAAGATAACAACATTTGGATGGAAGGTCTAGTTGACTGTGCTACAGATGGAGCCACTTTGCTGCTCATTCAAGACCCAGAAGAACTGGTAAGTTCTGGAAGCTCACGGTCTGAGAGACAAATTGGTCATGTGAACCAATAACTGCTTATGCAAGGTGAGTATCCTAGGATCATAAATACCAGACACAGGTTTGTCAAAGGAACAAGAATTAACTGTGCTGGGGACTCAGGCTGGACACAGGTGACACTTGAACTAGGTTTCAGGAAGCTGGGAGAACATGAGTCCCCAGTACACAGACTCAGGGTTAAGTCCTCTACTCTGTTTTTATTATAGAGATTCATAAAGGACTCAGTAAAGGGAAAAGGCAGTTCATATTGGATTGGACTAAATTACACTTTGACAGACAAGAAATGGAGGTGGATAAACGGCTCTACTTTACGTTCTGATGTGTGAGTATTGGAGGAGCTAACCTGAAGATTCATTTCAGGTCATTTCAGGGCTCTAACACTGATACCAAAGATTAAAGAGGTTCAGAAGAGTTTAAAAGTATGATTTCAAAGTTAGTTGCTATTTTCCATGTATGAAAAGGTATCATCAGCCTTTCATAAGGTCGTGTGTGTGCATGTATGTGTATATGTATGTATACAGTGGACTATGTATATATGTCTCCAGTGGACCTCAAAGAACTTCCCCTTTGGAAAGAGAATGCAGTTTTAAATATCTACTGAGTGCCTGTAGGCACAGAGAACTTTTCCTTTTTCACTCTTAAACTTTTTATATTTTCCAAAGAATTTCTTTTTTTTTTCATTTTTCTTTATTAAGAAATTCTCTACTCACTCTACATACCACCCACAGATCCAACCTCCTCCCTCCTCCCACCTCCCATCCCTCCCTCCCAAGCCACCCCACATCCCCACATCCCCCAAATCACGTCTCCCATGGGGAGTCAGCAGAGCCCGGCACACTGAGCCTAGGCAGGTCCAAGCCCCTTCCCACTGCACCAAGGCTGCGCAAGGCGTCACTCCACAGGCACCGGATTCCCAAAAGCCTGCCCATGCACCAGGGACGGCCAAAGAATTTCACTGTGGTGAAAATGAGCCATAGTGTGTAATGAGGCCAGCTTCTCAGGTCACAACCAGCAGAGGAAAAGTGAGTGTGAATGAAAAGCACTAAGTGTCAGCAGGGAGCTTGGTCAGCTGAGAGAAATGACCACGTTGTCACAGGTTGTATTGTAGTGTAGCTAGAGTTGTTATACAATTATCTGAGGAGCTGTGGTGAAAGAAGCCTTAATCAGCTTTTGTAGTTGTAACAAAATATCACAGAGAAATAAGAAAGTGAAATCGTTTTGGCTCACAGTTGAAGGGGCCTCCTGTCCATCTTCAGCCTTCTCCATGGCTGCTAGCCCTGTGGCAATGCAGAAATGTGGTTGTATGAGGGCACAGGAAAGCTGCTCACCTCATAGTGGGCAGGAAGCAGAGGAGGTGGCCACCCCCGGGCTGCGATGAGGAGCCGAGATCTTCCTTTCAAAGGCTGTGCCCGCACCATGACCTACATCTTTCCAGGAGGCCTCATTTTGCTTGACTGGGAACTCAGCAATGGGTAAATTCCTTGATGGCATCAGTGCACCCGTGACCCAGTCACCTCTTCACAGTGTCACAGCTATCCCACACATGACCTCCTGGGGTATTTGCCATCAAAGCTAAAATTGTGAGTGCAAACCATAAAGAATGCCATTAGCTCTTTGGTGTCTTGTCATTTTCTTATTGTGTGAGATTGTCATGGGAAGTGCGCTACAAAAGGGCTGACCCTATGGAGTTAAGTCATATGTTTTGGTGGAATTAATGACTTTTTGCACAACAAGAACAGAATATTCATTCATTTCATAAGCAAAAGGGTATAGGTTTCAGCCAAATTCCTATACAATGCTTTCAATGATGTTTTCAGGAGTTATAATGAGAATCATTTTATTAATCTTGCTTGAATAAACTTAAGCAAATCTTACAAGAAAATGTACTTCTTGTTATTCAGAATACATGAGATTGAAATGTAAAATGCTGAAACATATTTAGGTTTACTTAAAATGTACTGACAATTTATTAAGTATAGAAATAGTTAAACATAAGAAGTTGGCATTCAGTAGAGAAGTATGTGTGAGGTGTACGGATTAAGCTCAGCTAATGTGTCATTTTACTCTGAGGACAAATTGACACTGGGATTAGGGAAGAGCGATTGGTAAGCCTGGAGGCTGCTGTGCTCAGTCAAAAGTGTCAGTCAAGCAAGTCCTGCTTTTGTTTCAACTCTGTCCCTGGATTCAGGTACCAGAAAGGGAGAGAGTAACAGTTTCCCCCACAGGATTATTTGGGGAATTAATAAGGAATGTTAGAGATCTCTCCAAGTGTCTGGTAGGAGAAGGCCTGGGAAGCCTTAAAGGAATTTTGAAAGGAAGTCATTGACTGAAACAGATCAGCCCTGAGGAAATGATCCTGAAAGCTGAAGGAAGATCCTGAGCATGGAGGAAATGAAAGAGGGAAATCATGGTTGGACTAGCATGCTGACCACTAGGGTGGCATCAGATTTGCCTCTCAATCCCAAGGGGCTCCACAAAGAACAAAACAAAGAAGGACACCCTTGAGGAGCCCTGCCACTGGCATATGCCACCTTCTTTGTAAGACCCACCAGTGTACTTAGAACTCATCTGTCCCTTACAACCAACCCTGATACTGTCTGTGTTAGCGCTTGAATTTTAGTTCCCACCAGCACGGAGCCATGGAAGCCATGAAAAACATGGAGGTTTGAAACCCATGTGTTAATCAAACACTTCAGTCTAAGGAAGGAGAATGAAAGGAATTGTGACTCTGCATCACATGAGCTGAGCCTCTTTCCCTCTCTGCATCCAGTTCTGTGATCCGGACTCTGTGAGCTCACTCTGTATGTTGAATACATTCATTGAATACCTGCTGTGTGTAACTGTTATCACACATTCATGTCCGTCTTAATACTTCCCCAAACATTAGCTCGTTAAACCGTGTGTGCGTGTGTGTGTGTGTGTGTGTGTGTGTGTGTGTGTGTGTGTAAAACTTTATGCTTTTCTGCTATTAATCTATTTTTAGAGACTTACTCATTTTGGTTTATGTATAGGCATGTTTGCATGCATGTGTGTATGTGTACCACATGAATGCCTGGTATCCATGGTAGCCAGAAGAGGGTATCAGATCCCTTGGTACTTTAGTTACAGACACTGTGAGCCACCATGTGGGTGCTGGGAACTGAACTCAGGTCCTTTGTAAGAGCAGCCAGTGATTTAACCACTGAACCATGTCTCCAGCCAGTGCCCTAACCCTGTAAATGAAAGAAAACTGAAACTAAAAAGAAATGAAGGTCTTCACATGACGTGTTAGTGGCGCAATGAGGAGGTCACCATCTCTTTCAAACCGTCTCCGTTTCATGCGCCATTATGAAGATTCTTGCTGGAAGGGTTCTCTCCCAGTGACGAAACAGCAGGTTTTAGAATCAGCTCCACCTTCTATGTTTATAGCATCGTGTCTGTGTTTACTATACTTAATAACTGTACTTTCTACTGTTTCCTTTAAAGTCCAAAAGAAAGCAATGGCTGACAGGATCATTATGAGAAAATCCTAAACACTAACAGTGGCTATTCTCTTCCTCCTCAGATTGCAAATCACTGGTGAAACTACAAAAGACAGCTGTGCCTCCCTCGCAGAGGACACTGTGGTGTCTGAAAGCTGTGTTTCAGACAACAAGTGGATCTGCCAAATGGAACCAAAACCATGTCTCTGAAACCACGTGTGATGACCCCTGACTGTGAATCCCATCTCCATGACTTTACCATCCACACCGGATCCCTGCACCCAATCTGTCTAGGCTGTTGACCCCCTCCTCCAGTGCACAGTTAGTAGCACAAAGCATGGACTTTGCTTTGTGCTACTAACTGTGTGTGACTCGTACAAATGCCTGTCCAGTTTCTTCATTCTGTAAAGGGTACAGAGAGATGTGCCACTTAAGAGAAGTAATCTGGGCTGGAGAGATGGCTCAGTGATTAAGAGTACCGGCTGCTCTCCCAGAGGACCCGGGTTCAATTTCCAGCACCCACATGGTGGCTCACAACCATCTATAATGGGATCTGATGCCCTTTTCTGGTATAAAGATGTACATGCAGATAGAGCACTCACACGATATGAACAAATAAATCTTGAAAAAAAATTTTTTTAAGAGAAATGATCTGTGGAAAGAAGCCCAGACAGCTGAGGGGCCCTGGATTCTAATCCTCGAGTCTGTGAGCCTCACTGTTTGTGTCTGAGGTCATCTGCAAACAGCCACAGAAAACCATTTGCAAAATCATTATTAAAGATGTGTTATGGGAAGGGCTGTCAGTCAAAACAGAGAACCACTCAAATTAATCTCCTAGTAACCAAAGTCCTCCTTCTCTTGAACCCCCTGAAAGGAAGCTCCAAGCAACAACCAGGACCCTGGAGTACCCACTCCTGTGGCTGGGTGTTCTCTTTACAGTGTGTTCTAATCTGTACTATAGCCTTGCTTTAGATAAAGTTTCCCAGCCATTTTTCTACTCCCTGAAGGGAGACTCAGATACCTGGAAACACTCCACCCTGGCCTAACTACTGGCAACATATTTCATTTACATATATGTTATTGATAATGGATATTGCCCTGTACCTAAGCTGGGTAGTAACGGTGATTTTTCCCAAAAGGACTATTTTTCTTTTTTAAAAAAATATTTTTTTTATTTTATAATTAATTTAATTTTACACATCAGCCACGGATTTCCCTGTCCTCCCTCCTCCCACTCCCCAGCCTTCCCCCCCCCAATTCACCCCCCATTCCCGCCTCCTTCAAGGCAAGGTCTCTCCTGAGGATTCAGCCCAGTCTGGTAGATTCAGCTGAGGCAGGTCCAGTCCCTCCTCCCTGTATCAAGGCTGAGCAAAGTGTCTCAGCATAGGCCCAAGGTTCCAAAAAGCCAGCTCATGCACCAAGAGAGGTCCCGGTCCCAGTGCCTGGGGGACTCCTAAACAGTTGAAGCTCATCAACTGTCTCACTTAACCAGAGGACCTGGTCCAGTTCCATGGTGACTCCTCAGCTATTGGTTCACAGTTTATGTGTTTCTGCTAGTTTCGCTATTTGTCCCTGTGCTTTTTCTATCACGGTCTCGATATCTCTTGCTCATATAATCCCTCCTCTCTCTCACCGGTTGGACTCCTGGAGATCCACCTGGGATTTGGCCATGGATCTCTGCATCTGCTTCCACCAGTCACTGGATGAGAGTTCTGAAGAATGGATAAATAAAATGTGGTACATATACACAATGGAGTACTACTCAGCAGAGAAAAACAATGACATCATGAGGTTTGCCGGCAAATGGATGGAACTAGAAAATAGCATCCTGAGTGAGGTAACCCAGACTCAGAAAGACAAACATGGTATGTACTCACTCATAAGTGGATACTAGATGTAAAGCAAAGGATAACCAGACTGTAACTCACAACTCCAGGGAGACTACCTAGTAAAGAGGACCCTAAGAAAGACACAGGGATCATCCAGCGACAGAGAAATGGATGAGATCTATTTTTCAAATACTAAGGCGGAGTGTGGAATGATTTGTCAGCATTTGGGAGCAACCCACTGATAGAGCTGGACCCCAAGTTTGACTGTACTGCTGTGCACTACCCTAACACCACCTCTTAAGGCTCTTTCTCACACACCAGGAACACTGGGAAATCAGAGCATGCAGCCCTTTGTACTTCATCCTAAATCCCCTGCATATTACATTAGAAAGCAGATAACCTATAACAACTGTCTTAATTAAGGTTTCTATTATTGCAGTGAAACACCATGATCAACAGCAAGTTAAGGAGGAAAGGGTTTATTTGGCTTACACTTCCATATTACTGTTCATTATCGAAGGAAGTCAGGACGGGAACTCAAATAGGGCAGGAACAGTGAAGTAGGAGCTGATGCAGAGGCTATGGAGAGGTGCCACCTACTGGCTGGCTTCTCATGGCTTGCTCAGCCTGCTTTTTTATAGAACCCAGGACCACCAGCCCAGGGTTAGGATGGCACCACCCACAAGGGCTGGGCCCTCCACCATTAATCACTAACTAAGAAAATGCCCTATAGACTTGCCTACAGCCTGATCTTATGGAAGCATTTTCTTAATTGGGGTTCTCTTTTCTCAAATGACTTTAGCATAACAACTTGACGTAAAACTATTCAACATAACAGCTAAACATATCTGGGCAAAGGCATTCAGCCAGCAACCATCACTAGCTGAATCCCAAGGCCGGCTGTCATTTCTCTGCATTTGACTTGTTTGGTTCAGATGCTTAGATTCAGATATTTCTATTCATCAGCAGTGGTTTCCATGAGTAACAGAGGAAAAGAAATCCCCACTGGGATTTGCTACTGACTTGCTTCAACTTGTCATTTGAGACTATAAGGAACACCACAGAGTGATTTACATTGATAGTTTATAGAATCCCTTTACCTTAACAGTGGTGAAATATGTAGAATGCATAGAACATAAACAGTAACAATATCTCTTTTCACTTACATATCCTCAAATTTCTTCATCTCCTGGAAATTCTGAATAATTTTAGAAACTGGAGACCAAGTATACAAACAAGTGAGCCTATGGGGAACATTCTCATCTCGTTCAAACCACCACAGTCCGTAAAGAGCTGCGCTATACACAGTATAATGAACTAGAAATAAGATGAAACTCAGGTGTTTGAATACTTGGCCTCCAGTTTGTGGCACGGTTTGGGTAGGTTTAGGAGGTGTGGCTTTGGAGGAAGTATATCACTGGGGGCAGCCTTTGGGGTTTAAAAGCCATGCATCATTCCCAGTTTGCTCTCTCTGCTTGCTGCTTGCAGTTCCAGATGTGATCTCTCAGCTTCTGCTCCAACCACCAAGCCTACCTGCTCTCATGCTTTACCCCTCCATGATGGTGAAGGACTCCTAACCAGTTGGAACTGTAAACCCAAACAAACCTTTCTTTCTATAAGTTGTCTTGGTCACTGTGCTGGATAGTTTTATGTCAACTTGACACAGAGTATGTGATGGACTGTGATGTGCAAGTATGAACCATTTATACCCTTTCCTCCCCAACTTGCTTTGGTCATGGTGTTTCATCATAGCAATAGTAACCCAGACTAAGACAAATTGGTACCAGGATTGTAGGGTATTGCTGTGACAGATCTAACCATGATGTTTTGGTGAGGATTGTGAAAGGACATTGGAACTTTGTGCAAGAAAAGCCATTGAGTGCTCAATGCTTGGTGAGCTGTTCTGTGGGAGCTTGGAAGATAAGAATGTTGAGGGCAATGCAAAAGATAGAGGCCTGGCTTGTGAAGTCTCAGAGGGAAGTTTAAAGACTCTAACTGGGCCACTTGTTATTTTTCAGTTTAGAGTCTGTGGTTCTGGTTAGCTGGGGCTGACGAATCAGCTGTAATTAACAAGATACCAGAACTACTAAAGTGAAACCTTTCCTTTGCTGGGATACTCGATGCTGGTCAACTGGAGCTGAGAAATTAGCAGTGATTAAAAAGAGACAAGAGGTGAAATGTCCTGGGAAGTGTTTCCTGAGAACACACAGAAGCTGTGTTCCAGAGAAGGCCAAGGTTGTACCTTGAGCTGGTACAGCCCAACTTTGTAAGGGTCACCCAGGTGGTTCTGGTTTTGAAGTTCGAAGGGGCCATGGAGAGTAATGGAGGCTTGGTGCTCAGAGAGGTCAGGAAGGGCCCTTGGTGAAGGTGCAGCCAGTGGCAGTTGAAGGTCTGGGATTGAAGGGAGGGGTCATGCAGAGAAACTGAGGCTTGGCACCATGAAGAGAGCCCATGAGAGGCTATTGGTGAAGGTGCAGCCCAGTTGCAGCAGAGGACCACAGCATTTTGGAGATGCCAGGACCATGAATGATCGCCAAGGAAAGCTGCAGATGTGGACTGGAGCTGGCCTGAGCCTGGGAAACCAGCTGTGTGTGCTGCAGAGGACAGAGCAGAAGTGACCCAGGCGCTTTGGAGGAGCCCAGAAGATCACAAGTGAATCTCAGACATTTGACTATGTGCTATTTACACTGTTGGGAGTTTGGCTTTGCTTTGGTCCAATTGTAACTATGCCCTGGTTCTTCCCTCTTGAAGTAAGAAAGCATTTAACTTAATTTTGATTTTATCGGAACCCACAGACTTGAGAAACTTTGAATTATAAAAGACTTTGGATTTTAAAAGAAATTGGTTATTTTATAATTTTGGTTGTGAGCCTAGCCTTGCGCCATTTCTCCAGCCTGAGATTAACCATTTTAAAGAGACTAACTTCTAATGTGTTTTGAGTTTGTAAAGACTATAGGACTTTTGAGTTATTTATATTTTTAACCGATATCTGGGGGATGAACAAGAAAGGAAAAACTCTGGCTTAAGGGTGATGTGTTTGTGTGTCAGGCTGACAGGTCAGTTGTACTGGACAGTTTTATGTCAACTTGATATACGCTAACATCATCCGAGAGGAGGGAAATTCAATTGAAAAAATGTTTTTATAAGATAGGAAGAGGGAGGACCCAGCCCATGTGGGTGGTGCCATCCCTGGGTTGGCGATCCTGGGTTCTATAAGAAAGCAGACTGAGCCAGCCATGGAGAGCAAGCCAGTAAGCAGCATCCCTCCATGGCCTCTGCATCAGCTCCTGCAGTGTTTGAGTTTCTGTCCTGACTTTCTTTGATGATGAACTGTGATGTGAAAGGAGAAGCCAGATAAGCCCTTCCCTCCCCAAGTTGCTT